GTCAATTGCACATGAGACAGATTGATTTCACCACAGATGAAGAAATGGGAGACAGATGAAAATGGGACGATTGAAGAAAACAGAAAAAATCATGTCTTTCACTTAAAAATACCAAAGGATCATCCTACTACTATCTGATTAAATACGACCGTACTTTGAAAGCCGGGTTTGGATATTAAAATACTATGACGCAATCATTGAAAGCAGCTCTGTGATAGGCCCAGCACCATTGGAAGTACATTAGTTTTTTGAAGGTATGGAACTGTGCTGTATGTTTGTGTGAACATATACAGAAACAATTTGCTTATGATGATCTTGGCATATTACTGTAGTGGTGCATGTTGAAGAAGGAGCAGAACAAGGTGAACATCCTTGTGTCAGGTTATGCCAATCAAAATACCACTAGCTAATCGCTGAGCAGATAGTTAAAATTGATGTGTTCTTGCATTCATTTGACCGTCTAGGCGACAAAACCCGAGTGAACTACTGGACTACTGTTGCATTGTTGACCGGGGGCAAGTACCGTGCTGAGGCGTGGGGAAAGGTGCTATTACAAGGATTGCTCCTGTTACTATGCTTCAGTAGTAGCATTCAAGCAGCAGTTGCAGCCACCTGGTGCTGGTGTGCCTTCTCGTGGGAGTCCCATTGAGGAGATTACTAAAGAGAGCATTGACGAAGGTATCAATCATCGACGCTTAGGCGATGAAGATTGTTGTGGAGTGTTGGTGGAGCGTGCAATGAAGTTGTCCAGGTGACCAGAATGAAGAACAGTTGTTTGAGGAGCCACAATGCATCCTCACGAGAAAAACCGTGTGCATCTTGATCATCACCAGATAAGGCAAGCTTTCTCCACCAGAGGCTATGATAACCCTCGATGGCATTGCTCCAAGTAATCTGTGCTTGCGATTCCAGTGCTTTGTCAATAAAGTCTTGGAGATGAGGTGGATACGCACGCTAAATTATCCAGTTAGAAACAAGAGGCAATCACGCCACTAAACCAGCACCATCGAGAACCCTGTTCAAGGAGCAGGTATCATGTCGGATGAGGGTCAACAATGAGAATGGTTTTACAAAGGAGGGTCACCAGGGAGGATGCATGAGCAGGATTTGCTGTGCAGCATGTCAGAAAATGTTGTTGGTGATGACTTTTTGCAGCAAGGACAGCATTTTAGAAGATCACCAGAAGGCGGCGAAGACTTGTCTCGCCAAAGACTCAAGGGTTGATGATTGCGGATGAAGGTCACTCCTGGTGAACCAACATGATTACTTTAGCAATGGTTACATGTAACAGTAGCAATGCAGGATTCCTGTTGGGAGTCGTACTAGGAAGACTTGGGTTTTGAGGGGCAGCATATGAAGGGAATCGATGCTAAATGGGGGTGGAATAGACGGTAACGGTATAATACTAACAACAGTTTTAGTTTTAGCTACACTAGTGGGTTCCTCACAACTGATCGGAGGCGTATGATACATACTGGTGTTTACAGTAGCATTTGTGAAACAACCTGTTTACAGCAAATTCGATGACTATTCCGTCCAGTAGCTTTGAATTCATACAGTACGGTACTACAGTAATGTAGGACACTGTCGTTTCAACATAAATTACCGTCGATTTATGTACTGTAGACCTGTAGTACATGTAATCCACGTAACAGTACAACAGTACCCCAGAGTGGTCATACTCCGTAACAGACACACACACACACACACACACACACGCACAAACCAAATTTAAAAAGGAGTAGGATATGCACTTTTACAGTGGTACTGGGACTGGCCCAATCCAGCACAGTACAGCTGCAACTACAGTACCAACATTCCCCAACATGCGACATCTGCCACTGGCTTCATCGTTTCTCTGTTCGGACCGAAGTTCTGCGATGGATGAGTCTCGCTGTCATTGACAACACATAATCTTCATGCTTTAAGTTAAGTTAGCTATGCAAGTTGTGTTCTTGTTGTTATGCTGAAGGCGCTCATCTAGTAATAGAATGTGAATGGCGAGGGTTGCATATTTCGTACAACATTACTGCATACAAGACAGCGTTTCAAGAGAGAAAGGCAGAGCGTTCACCAATCTACCATCACTGTAATTGAGAGCATCATGGCCGTCTCCACGAGGAACACTGCAAGGCTAGTACATTTGGTCACGCTGGGAGCACCAATTTTTGTCTTGTCAATGTTGACAATGTCGTCACTATCGAGCGAAACGAATCGGTCTGAAATAGACAGCATAAATGGACCACCAATACCTATGGTCGAAGATGAAGCCAAGCATCCTTGGGAAGATGATTTTCCTATGCATGATGAAAGAGACCGCTTCGGTACAGGAAACCAACCAAATTCACTGACGACCAAACTTTGGAAGGGAAAATCGTTTGTTGACAGGCACTGTCAACTAGGTGACGGCACCAGTGATGACATTCTCCGCGAGTGGTGGCCTGAGGGCGATTGGAAGACCCGAACACCCTATTTTTTGTTGATTGGAGCCAAGAAAGGAGGAACGACCTCCCTGACTAGTTGGCTATTTCGACATCCCATGATAATCCGACCCCGCAGGAAGGAGTTGCGTTCGTTTTTACCCACCCATGAAACCAACTTTGACAATTATGATAATGTCACTCAGAAATACATGGTCCATCAGATCCGGACCGATATCTACGCAGAGGACTATAATGTGGCCGAGCTGCAGGCAAATGAGAGTGCAATTTCGTTCGAGGCCACACCTGGGTACCTTCTTTTCAGCACTTTGTCGAGGATTCCCATTCTGTGCACTATGCCATGGGTGAAGTTGTTGGTAGCGCTGCGTAGTCCCATTGATCGAAGTTTTTCGAATTACAACTTCTTGCTTGATTACCGCGTCAAAAGGGCCAAACGAGAGGGCTTGACGAACATGGCTCCGTTTCGAACGCTGGAGGAGTTTCTTGACGATGATATTCAAATGTTGAAGCAAGCCGGTGTTTTGCAAGATCTGCAAGATGACGTTGCGCGTAAAGCGTTTTATGGTTCAGAGGAAGAACGACATGCATGGACGACCTATCAGAGTCTGGTAGGTAGATCTGAGGCGCCTGTAGGAAGGAGTCTGTACATTCTTCAACTTCAAGAATGGTTTAGTGCCTTGGAGGAGATAGGCCGCGATCCGCTGTCTGATGTGTTGGTTGTGCGCAACGAAGATATGAAGAATGCGCCAGACGATGTCTTCCAGCAGGTACTGAGGTGGCTGGGACTGCCATCCTTTACTCCGCCCAATTACACGTCACGAATGGTGACAAGGTACCATTCTGGTCCAATGTCGAACGAGACGTATGCCATGTTGGAAGAGCTGTATCGTCCATACAATGAGCGGCTGTTTGCATTATTAGGTTGGGATGCCGATGTCTGGGACAATTCACACTTCTTGGAGAAGCAAGCCGAGTTGTCGAAAGATGCCGATGTCTCCCAAGACAATGAAACGAGTTCGATTGAACTTGAACATATCTATGAACCGCCGTACTTTGATGAAGTGAAGGGCCAGAAGTTCACGGATCAGTGGTGCGTCTTGGACAATGTATCGTGGTATCCGGAAGGGAACGAACTATGGCAATTGCGAGCGCCGTATTTCATTTTGCCGGGAGCGAAGAAGTCGGGCACAACATCTGTCGCTTCATATATGATGCAGCATCCACTTGTCGAGCGTGCTCGAACGAAGGAGCTGCAATTCTTCCTCACCAAGAATTTTCTTCCAGATCATGGAACTGATGACAGCAAATCGCGTGTTCGTGAGGCTCGGGAGCACCTTTACACTATAGACTACCACTCCAACGTCCTGAAGCAGAACATTACCGTGATGTCGTTCGATGGAACTCCTGAGTATTTGTTCAATGGTGTTGACATGGTGAGGAGAATCCTCTGCGTGACTCCATGGATCAAGCTCGTGATTGTTTTGAGGAATCCGGTAGATCGAGCCTTCAGCAACTGGGCCTTCGCCATGCGGAGGTTTCAGATTAAAACTGTGGTTCCGTTTGAAACGTACATGGACCAGGACATGCGGGCATTGAACAATAGCGGAGTCCTGGACGCCACGACTTCCGAGGAAGAGGATGAAGCGTGGTCAATTTATCGTTCAAAACGAATTGAAGGCGCTATCGGTCGTTCGATCTATGAAATCCAAATTCGTCAATGGTTTCAGGGTCTTGAGAACATCGGTCGAGATCCAAGTACACAGGTCCACTTTGTTCGATCTGACGAGTTAAAAAAAGACATTCAAGGTACGATGAGGAAGGTTCATGACTTCCTCGGCATTCCGCATGCCCCTGTGTTGAAAGAAAAGGAATTGGTCGTAACTAAGTACTCTGAGCCCATGCATCCGGCCACACGACGAATGCTGGAGCAATTTTATGAGCCATACAACCAGCGGCTTTACAAGCTTCTGGCAGCGTATGGCTTTGGTGAAGACTGGCATGGTTACTGGGATCCAAAGGTGCAAAGTGCGTGAGTTCCTCACTTTGAACAAGTTCATTTCAGCTGGGAAAGAGAGAGAGTACGGGCATCCGAATTGTCTCACTGCCAACTACTATATGTCGGTAGTTGCCAGTTGGAAGGGCGATATACTTCAACGTCTTGTTCAGACACACAGGTCCATACATCCTAGAATACAGGCAGTGTTCTCCTCCTAAGAAACGTAATAGAAAAGTAAGTCGCTCGACGGCATCACTCTTACCAACGCACATCGAAAATTGAAGCACTAAAATGCAAAAAGCAAGAAAAAGTGATAAGATGTATGCTGAAGACAGTGCGTCAAGTGTGTTGTAGGATGCGTATGGCAGGTACACCCATACACAAAACGGGTATATCAAACGGGCGCTGAAGCTATAGGACGGATGATATGTGGCACATATGATAGGAATGCTGTCGTTCTTTGCCTACCAGGTACCAGGTACCAGGTACTGGTATACCGGTTGGACAGATATGGACAACTTTACAGGAAAAAATAATATCAATTTTTGATACTGCAAAACTCTCTCTCGCTATAGGGATCGAACCTATGGCCTCAGGATTAACAGTCCCGCGCTCTACCAACTGAGCTAAGCGAGAACTGGTTATATGGAAGTGAATACATGCAAACATATCGACTAACAAACATTCGATGAGGCGTAGATTGGTGCCTATCTGACTCTCTCCAACGATGGTATTTTTGGCATTACTTTCCAATATATTTATGTGTATGCTACCAGGCACTATTAGTAGACCTTTATCGTGCGTGTAGTACGCTGGTCTTAATGACTACCCAAAGTAATTTGATCAGTCCAGGACTAGTAGCCGTGCTAGAATGGTCTGCGGTCTATTACAAATGGTAAACGCACCGCCTTATCATTGTGCCCTTAGCTTAGTATCTTGTTCTCCTTTACATATCATGAAATGCACTTCAGTAGGAATTAGATTTAAGAAGACATAACGACGATCAGTTCTATGAGAAGGTCAAAGTCATGAGAATATCTCCGCATTTCAGAAGCCCATGGAATTGCACAACATCTCTGACAATCAAGATTGTTGTGAAGCGAGAATCCTTGTAGAGTACTCGGATTTCGGAGTAGTCCATTACAGCACTCTATGTCTTACTCCGAGTACAGTGCCTGGCACAAGTATCTGGTATTAGTACTCCCTCAGGGAGTACAGCGGTAACAACGGACTATTGCAAAGTCCACACTTCTGGGCTTTATGGGACTATGAGTATCCGATCCAACGGGATGCTACAAGTACTTGTACATTGTACCCATGGTACTTGTACTCGCACGTTGTACTGTACTCAAGTACGGAGGCCTACGTATACGGATTACGGATCATGCCCCCGTATGAAAATGTGTGGAATTAGGAGTTTGGAATCCTAACGAATTTGGCATTTGGCAGACGACATTTCTACCGGTAGTACACATCTCCCGCGGTGTCCTGCTGAAGTTGCCATCCGCCAACAATAAAACGCAAGACATTGATCATCATTTCATTAGTCACATCAGGCAGCACCAGCGGCATATATCTATATATACGATGGCAACACAACAACCGTCGTCACTTTCGACCGAGGCATCGCGTCTCTTTCGTGTCTATCGAACGATTGGGAATATGTTGGACAAACGCGGGTACATGGTGCCAAAGGAAATGAGAGAAATGACACCTGCTGGATTCGTGGCGAAATTTGGGGATCAACCAGCACGAGAGGGATTGACAATTTTGGTGGTACGTTTTATATTATTATATTCGTTTTATTCCATTTGAAATTGTGCTCCATGTGAGATTCATTCTTGGATCTATCTCGGTCTCACAAAACAATAAAAAACAGGAAAAAGCGGATGATGATACCAATCAAATGTTTGTATTCTTTCCACAAGATGAAAAGGTGGGTGTCAAGCCCATCAAGGTGTATACTGATCGCATGCGTGCCGAGGGAGTTAGTAATGCCATTATGGTGTTGCGGGTTGACATTACACCCTTCGCCAAGCAGGCCCTTTTGGAGATGAGTGATTCCTTTCGCATGGAGCATTTCAAAGAAGCGGAATTGTTGGTGGATATTACGCAACATCAGTTGGTGCCGGAGCATCAGGTTCTAACAGGCAACGAAAAGTCGGAGCTTCTCAAAAGATATCGCTTGAAAGAAACTCAGCTGCCAAGAATCCAACCGAATGATCCAGTTGCGCGGTATTATGGGATGAAGCGAGGACATGTGGTTAAGATTATTCGACCTTCGGAGACTGCAGGGCGGTATGTGACGTATCGTATTTGCATGTAAGACGTTAGACGCGGTCTACTAGGGTTGAGGAATCTGACTGGGCCTAGCGTACTGCCTAGAAGTTAGGATTGGGGGCTTTTTAGAATTGAAGCTCAGATTACGTCGCAAGTATGCATTAATGCTACTTCAGTACTCGGAAATCATCAGTGGATAACTTAGTGCTAAACCTACAACTGTATGATGACTTTAAACAGAATTACATCGGCATGTCGGTGATTGCGAACTTTGGAAGAATCCTAGAACACATAGGTACACGGGATATTACGTAATTCACTAATACAACACACATCACGGGCAGATTTGCCCCTTTCAGGGAATAAAATTACAACTGAGGTGTAGGTGATGATCCAATTGGAAGCGCTTCGCAGTGACATGACATTCATTTGAGGTCTTGCGATGCGCATGGAGCTTGCCGATTTCGGGGACACTTCTCATCGCTGACGTGGATTCTCTGCACTGAGTTACAAGGTTATAATTATGTCTTGTTCAGGTCTCGCTGTGCCTTCATCAAATGCGATCCCCCTTGGTTTCGCTTGAGGCTGCTTTTGCTTCCGGTTGGATGAGTCCGAAGCGTTTTTGCGCGACTTCCCGGTCGCGCTGGCCTTTGCATCCTTACCCTGTAGCCGATTGGGTTGACTAGTAGCATTGCCTGTTCCCTTCTGCTTTTCATTCTTTCGCACAGACTTCTTCTTCTTCTCTAATTGTTCCAGCTTCGTCTTCTCCAGTTCGATTTGGTCTTTAATCTGTCGTTCAATTTCGTGCTGCTCCTCAATCAGTAATCGCATGTTCCGTTCACGGGCATCCAGCTCTTGGATACTTGAAAACGAACCAGCCCGATCCACGGGTCCAATGTACCATTTTGCTTCTTTCGCGACATGCTTCGATTGTCTTTGAGCAAACTCCTCTTCTTGTCTTTGAATCTGCAAGAGAGACATGGCTTGGGCAGACGTAGACGGCAGTGTCAAAAGCGAGTCCTTCTTGGGTGCGGCTGCGTGAGCCCATGGAGCAACAACCGTCAACGCCGTTTTGACTGGTGCGGGACCCTGTAAGAAATCGTTAAGACTCTGCTTTTTGCAACTTGTTGAACCTTTCTTCACTGACATAGGAGGGCGTTCCGAAGAAAGCTTCGGTGGGACAGGAGGAGTTTTCGCAACAGGCGGTGGTGCCCACGATGAACGTTTGACTGGGGTGAAAACAACAGGGCTTGGATTCACAACAGGCGAAGACGACCAAGGTGATTTCGGAAGCGGACCTTCATCACGAGGACTCGCGAGAGCGCTTGGTGTCGGCGCTGGGGGTTTGCATGATTTCTGAAGCTTGGTTGTTCCAATCTTACGTTCGGTTTCCTCTGCGAGGATAGACCGAAGCGACGTAGCCTTTTCTGTTGTGGCGTTCGTCGACCAGACTGGGCCTGCTTTGTCGAAAACGATAGGACCCGGTGGAACTGACGGGGACGGGAGCTGGTATCGTGGCTGTACACTCGAAGCGGTGCTCCAAGCATTATCGCGGTGGGTTCTCGCGACAGGCGATGTCACATTTTCGACGATGATGGCCTGTTGTCTCTTTCCCTCCGAAATAGACTTTGCAGTTTGATCATTCGCTTCTTCCTCGACCTGTCTAAGACGATTTCTGTGTTTCCGTCCGCTCTTGTGAAGCTCGAGATGATTTGCATCAGGGCAGGCCACATCACAAACATCACAGTGGAATCCAGATACCATTTCGAGTTTTGAGGCTTCTTTCTTTACTTGCGCATCGTCGGTGATGACGGTCATCGCCTCGACGTTTCGTTGGGCCATGAGCCTTTCCACTCGTTCCAGCGCAGGAATGAGTTGTGCTAGGTCGGCTTCCATCAGAGGTTTGCGGTTCAATTTCTCCCGTTCATCGGAGCTTAAACACTCCTTGACTAGCAATTTCTCCGCTTGAGTGAGTCTCTTCTTTAAGCTTCGAATCTCTCTTGACAAGGAATCATGCTTTTCCAAAATCTCCTCCTCTGTTCCAAGACTGGTGAGGTTGGACGTGAGCATGAGACACTTGTCCGAGCAACCCTGATGCCCTGTTTGAAGGTGCTCCGCCGATTTCTCTGGCTGGCGATGATCGTGGATGGATACAGCCCGACGTCTTGTCCGGTGTTGGTATCGCACCAAGGTCGAGACTGGTAAGTTGTGCAAAGTCTCCACGCAACATCCAAGCCAGTCCGACTGTGATTTTTCAACCATGACGGCCTCCATCACCAAGGGGTGGATGGCAACATCACGATCTCGGGTGGCACGGGATTCAGCCAACTGCTCATTCAAATAGACATCCAATTCGGATTTCCGACCAAAAGTCAACACCCCGTCAAGATTTTCTTTTATAAATTGGCAGCAGTAGTTCTGCAACAGACTTGTCTGAGTTCGCTCCGCCATAATGGCGATTGGAATCACATTGAACATGTCAATATGGTCGCAGACCCGCCTAGCAGCCAGGTTCTCCAAGCTAGAGTCATTGACAATGCGAGGAAGCTCTGGAAATGATGTTCCGAGCAATAGAACTGTATGCTCCTTTGCCACAGCAACGCTTACAGCACGATGAACACCTTCGACACGCTTCGGCGATGGTTGCCAACGAATACCTTGATGGCCCATGACATCCTTGTCAGCAGTGGAACCCCACGTAAACAAATGCCCTTGCGATGTGACAACTGCCGTGCGTTGGTCCGAGGCAGATACGGCGACAGCGAAGCCTCCACCATTCTCTGGGTACATGCCAGTCACCGGCGATGCCACGACCAAGGAGGACGATTGCTTGGAGGCCAGCGTTTCGGCATGAAGTCCAAACGTGAATACCCTCCCATCTTTGGTGACGGCGGCATTGTGATGCCGGGCACATGCAATATCTACGGGGTTGCACAGCCCAGTTTGATTGACTGTACCAACATCGAAAGTCACCTTAATGGGCACACGATTGCCGTGGCCCCATGTGTAGACAGAATTCACTCGACTATTTCGCCCTGATGGTCCCACCAGTACCAAGGTTGATTTCTCGGATGCCTCGACCTGAATCGCAACTCGCTCACCACGATTCCAAAGCGCCTCCACTCGTTCCACGCCACTCTTCCGATTCCGTCCCAGCTGACCTGCGGTATTATCTCCCCACGTGTATACTTCTCCAAAGCGCGTGAGAGCCACAGAATGTCGATCGCCGGCCGCTACGGCAATGCACGGTTTCTTCATATCGGCGACTCGAGTTGGAAAGGGACAGATTGCATAATTAGATGACGATGATGCGTCGAGCTGTCCAAAACGGTTGCTCCCCCACGAAAAGACAATTC